TGTATTGTGATGAATTGTATGAGCCCCAATAAATTGATTTAAAAAAAAAAAAAAAGAATACTGCAGCCATGTCATGAGTGAAACTCAACAGAGCATGGAGCCAAAGTGCACAAAATCTGGGCTCAAAACTCTCATTCCAGACTAGCTACTGACTCAGGCCTACACTTGGAACCAGAAACCTAGACTCTCTTGACTTCCAGTGGCTAAGAAAAGTGAGAAGAGCACAATCACAATGAATTTTCAGTATTTATTTCACTGGAGAATGGCTGATGAATAGAGTACTGATGTCTAAAGGTCCACGCTGCACCAAGGATGTGGCGTAGGATGACATTTCCTGTATAGCTTTACATCTTGAGTTTTGTCATTTCCTTTACTTCTTACTCTTACCCTTTCACAAAATATCCATCCTGTTATTACTTCTATGAGGCACAGGGATCAGAAAGTTGAATTTCATTTATTTTCTAACATTCACATTCTTAACTTTCTGTTTTTTGGATGGTTTTTCCATTTTTGGCAATCCCAAAGAGGAGTGCACCTATGAAGGCATAAATACGACCGAACACTAATCTCATATAAAAGACTGGCTGGTCACTTGGTGTTATTGCCCTGAATCTGCGTGGAGGTGGCCCACTGTTTTCACTTCCACCAGCACCCGGTCTTAGACATAGTGGTGGTTCCCAGCCTCTGTGGCAGTGACAGTTTCTATGATTGTTGCACATTCCCCTGTAACTGCACTTCCGAGGGTGACAGTCATAATTCAGTTCAGTTAAAATACCATTGCAGTAGCTGCCAGATGTACAGAACTTTCCAGCACCACAGGGGGTACCAGGCCTCACATGTCCAACGTCAGTTGCTTCTGTCGAACGGTGTTCATCCAATCCAAAACAATGAGCACCTGAGATCAAAGAGTGATGAAATGAGACATGATCCTGCAACAGGGGAAGATGAGTCACATTGGTACACTGTAGCTTTCCACACCTAACATCTTTGACGTTACAGGCCTGGTGTCTTGGTTGTGCAATATTTCTCCTGCAGTGTCCAAATCGGTTGCCTTTCCTGTTGATATTGTAGCAGATATCATCTGCATTCACAGCACCTTCACCAAAGATTTCTTTGCAGTGCATGGAGCGGTCAGTACAATTCCCATGAAAGCAGTAACCCTCCTCAGTGCACGGGGTTCCATCTTGCAGATAAACATCTTCGAGGCAGCTATAGTCCACCCCAGTACAGTACTCTGGAAGGTCACATATATTTTGGATAGGTCTGCAGAGTGTGCCCATGGGGCTGTAGGTACAGTTTGTGCAGCATCCTCCTTTATGACAGATACTTCCAGGGGTCAGCCTACAATCAGTTCTACAACACTTGTCAATGTAACACTCTTTATAAGAGCCACAGTCACATTGCTCCTTCCCCTCCACTCTAGCGTTTCCACAACGATGTTCTATTAGGCTTTCATTAAAGGGGGCACGAGGAAGATCATACACACAAGAGGCTTTTGGTAGAAATATTTGCCCTAGGTGTACAATGGTACAGTTACTGAACACATCTGTTATCAGGGGATACCTAAACATGATGCAAGTAGACCTTCTCTGGCAATAACACTGAGATCCATCAACATAAAAACCTATAGACCTCCCTGATTGAAAGGCTACAACCACAGATAACAAATAATAATGTCTTCCCAGGTGACCAATCATGTTCATGCCTAAATTGGTGCAGAAACTATATAAATATGCTTGAAATTGAAGTTCATGAGGTCCATCTCTAGTCACAATAAAGCTATATTGAGTAGTCATTGTACGATAGATGGTATATCTGTAATAATTAGAGTATGCACCCCCAGGATGTCGATAATCTGTCATGCTTGTTGGGTTCCTTGCATTATATATAAGTACACCAACAGCTCGAAATTTTAGATCCAAATGACTATACATTGAGTCCACCATGGAAGCAATATCTATCAGATATGTGATACACTGTGATACATTATTAAATAGTTCATATACTTCATGAGAACTTGAAGGAAGACCTTCTATCACACCTGCATGAGAGGCATAAATCTTGCTTGAGATCCTCAAGGCTGCACTGATGTTTTCTTTTGACAGCGGGGGGTCCTTGTATCCTAGTCTATACATAGGCCCTATGGCATTGGCATCTGCCACTATCTCAGAAATCACGTGTTCAAACATGAGAGAATCCTTCAGGGGTTTGATCTCATAGGCCAGATCATCTAACTTCATTATACCTTCGAGCCCCCCGTAGCACGTGTTGATGGTGACCATGGAGTAAGGGATCTCCTCCAGGAAGCCCAGGTAGTAGCAGTCGTGAGGGAGGTAGGGGAAGTCCATCTGCGAGGCTCCCTGGTCGTCCTGGGACATCACCGGCACGTGTCTGGGCCCAAACACTTTCTTGCGCCTCATGTGGATCAGGTGCCTCTGGCCCCCGAAGCTCAGGGTGTAGGAGAGCCAGCCTAGCACCTGCACACCTTTGCCTGGAGGCATCTGCTTCCTGGGAACCACCACCTCGGAGGAGATGTAGCGCCATGAGGGACGGCCTGCCGAGCTCTGGACTGGAGCCAGGAGCACACAGAGCCCAAGCATGGAGAGGGATCCCCTGAGGGTGACCTGGCCCTCTGCCAGCCCCATGGCCCGAGCCACTCTTAGGACGTCAGTCCAAAGAGGACAGATAGAGACAGGCACCTATGTGAAGCCAGGTCTGAAACATCTGCTGGGGACCCTCCCCGCTTGTGCAGGCACTGCTAGAGAACAAACACAGTGCTGCCTGGGGTCCAACATCCTGCCCCTGGGTGGGTGGGCATCTGGTCACCTAGGGGATTAGTTAACAATGCAGGCGTGGCAGTGGGTGGCCCTGGGCACAAGTCTACCTAGGGTTGGGGTTGTGAGGATTGTACTGTGATGGGAAAGAGGAAAGGCGGAGGGAAACATTACCCTATGTGGTAGATATATCATTGTTTGTCCATTTGAAGATTAAGAGTGTAGGGGTGAGTCTAGCTTGTCAATCAGATCATAGCCAATGAGGCCTCTGTGTGGGCATGGCCATCTCCTGAGAATTCTGGGAAGTCCGGTACTTCCTCCTTAGAGGTGGGAGACACATCTCTCTCTCTCTCTCTCTGCTACTCCCTGGAAGATGTTGCAGCTGACAAGACACATGGAACTACCCTAATGCCCTGAGCTGGAAAAGTCACATGGACCTGCCCTGATGGAACCAGACCTCTGGAGCTGGAGAAACCACAGAGAGACCTCTCCCAGCGCTGAGATGCTTGCATGAGGGAATCCTTCAGGGGTTTGGCCACAGGAGCCAAAGAGTTTCTACCCACTGGCCTGTGATCGTCCTGCATTCGGCACCATTGCATGCGTCTCGTGAGTCTGAAGAGGACTTTATAGGTTGGTATGGGACATATGGGCTAATATCGGACTTACGGACTTGATATGTACTGGGCTAGGGTGTTTTCTCAATGTTCAATTGCTCTTCTATATAAACCTCTCCCTTACATATATACAAGCGTCTCCATGAATTTGTTTCTCTAGCCTACCAAGACTAACACACTCTATTTCCCCTGAGAGAGTTACTTGTGTGCTAAGACTCTGATTAAACCTTGAATGTGTGACTATTTGAATGTGCCAGGAACTTGGAGTAAATGCCAAGTGAAAAGGAGATTCCTGGTGACAAACAACAGGGATCTTCCTTTAGGTCAGAAAATGTTTACATGGGAGCATTTTTTTAAAAAATCATCTTATTGGGGGCTCTTACAGCTCTTATAACAATCCATATATCCATTGTGTCAAGCACATTTGTGCATGTGTTGCCATTATCATTTTCAAAACATTTTCTTTTGACTTGAGCCCTCGATATCAGCTTATTTTTTGCCTCTCACATCTTCCATTCCTCCTTTCCTTGATAATTTATAATTTCTTCCACCATGTCTTACACTGACCACTGCCTCTCTCCACTCATTTTTCTGTTGTCCATCCCCCTAGGAAGGGGTAATACGTAGATCATTGTGATCCATTCCCCATTTCTTCCCCCACCTTCTCCTTACCCTCCTGATAGCTCTATTCTTATTGGTCCTGAGGGGTTTATCTGTCCTGGATTCTCTGTGTTGAAGCTCTTATCTGGAGCAGTGTACGCTCTCAGGTCTCGTCAGAATTGTAAGGTGGAATTGAGGTCATGATAGTGGATGGGAGGAAGCATTAAAGAACTACAGGAAATTTGTATGTTTCATCGGTACTATATTGCACCCTGAATAGCCCGTCTTTTCCTTGTTTCCCTTCTGTAAGGGGATGTCCAATTGTCTACAGATGGGTGTTGGGTCTCCACTCTGTACCACCACCCCCCGCCCCTCATTCACATTGATATGATTTTTTGTTCTGGGTCTTTTGATGCCTGATGCCTGATACCTGATCCCATCGACACCTCATGATCACACAGGTTGGTGTGCTTCTTCCACGTGGCTTTGTTGCTCCTCAGCTAGCTGGCCGCTTGGTAAGACCCCAGATGCTCTATCTTTTGATAGCCGGGCACCATAAGCTTTCTTCAACATATTTGTTTATGGACCCACTTTGTCTTCAACAATCGTGTTGGGAAGGTGAGCATCACAGAATACCGGAATATTAAAACAAAGTGTTCTTGCATTGAGGGAGTATTTGAGTAGAGCCCCAATGTCCATCTGCTACCTTAATATTTAACATAAATATAAGTACATAGATCTATTTCCCTATCATTACATATAAATATATTTACATATGTACATGCCTGTATTTAGACCTCTATAAATATCCTTTGTCTCCTACTCCTTTTCTCTATTTCCTTTTACTTTTCTCTTGTCCCACTATCATGTTCGGCCTTCATTCGGGTTTCAGCAATTCTTCTCGGTTACATTGCCCTTGATTAAGCCCCATCACGCATCCTACACCCTTCTCTCCATCGGTTTTTGATCACTTGCTGTTCTCTTGTCCCTGAGTTGGTTGACACCCACCCCCCTTTTCTCCCGCCTCTCCCTCTCATGGGAGAATGTTTTAGTGGTTGAAGAACATCTTGGGCCTGAAGTTGTTGTGTCCTGTAGACAGTCCTGACACGAGTGCATCTGGAGTTGGAGGCGGGGAAGTTGGAGGGCTGAGCCTTGAAGGGAAAGAGGAACGGGACTGGGGGGCGGGGATTTGTGAGGGGGTAGCTCTCAGGCTTCTGAGCAAGCCTGGCAGGAAAGGCCTCACTTCACACACACACAGCTCTCTGCTTCCTTCCCTCCTCTGTGGGGCTTGGGAATTGGCTAGTCTGTAGCTTATGGATATCACAGCTGTATGTCACCCGTCCTTCTGCCCCACTGTGGTGCTAGCTACATTTTATGTCAATGTGCACTTGTCAAGGGGTGCCCTCCAACCTGTCGATCAGGCTACAACCTGATGATGCCTCCTATGAGGTGTGGCCTTCTTATTAGAGGTATACTGGGGACTTGTCTCTCTCTCTCTGGTTCTTTATCTTCCTGTTTGCTGAGACTCTGTGTCTGCTTGCAGGGGTGACCCTATCTGGACACCCAGATCCTGAGAGCTATTGGCACCTTGCCATGTTTCTGCTGACTTTATATCTACTCCTCTCTGTGCCTGTGATCTTCCTGCATCCCGATGCACCTTTCTGTGTCATGGGCCTGCAGCCAGTACCTGAGTCTGAAGAGGGCTCTGGCTAACATCCTGTAGTATTAAATAAAATAATAAATGACGCTTGGGAGGGTGAGGGGACCAGCCCCCACCCGCTGCTTACTCCTACGAGTTCAGTAATACTACTTCTGGGTTCAGTAATGCACAATTGTACGGTTGAGATATATAAGCATTATATTAAAGTGATCAAGAGCATGAGAGATAATACAATAATACAGTCAGGCATGATACATAGCAACATTGCTCACCTCAGCCCTGCTTGGTGGTCCACGTGGA